TATTATTTTGTAGCAGGTATTTCACAGAAGTTAAAGGCCACGCTGCATTACGGAGGTAAATAATACAATTAAAAAGAAACCATAGCAGAGGGAGAAGGAAGTTGAGAGGCAGGCAGTGGGGGGAGCATACGTAGCCTTTCATCTGAGATTAGAAAATAGATGGGGAGTTGATGCAGTGAAGAGATAAAAGAAGGCTGATCTAGAGGGCAAGTGCTTCAAAGAAGGCTCTTGCACCAAAGAACAGCGAATTTGTATAGCTCAGTCAGCCAACGTGGGACCGTAGGCCTTGATTCAGGCTGTGATTCAAGCAGCTTCATCTGTTTCCAGTGATTTCCATGGGTCCTCCCAGGTGCTGAAAATGAGGTGTGGGCTTAAGAGCTTTGCTGAGCCTGGGTCTTACAGAACAAGGGAGATGGTTGCTCTTTTGCACTCATATTGGTTTGAGTAGGAATCCAAGCCCCAGCATCTGAAGAGCATAGGCCTGCTCCTTACCCTGTTCAAATACCCACAAATTATTGGGAGTCTGAGGGCTGTAATTTGGGATTGCTCTTGTGAAAGGAAGGGGAGAAAAAGAGGAGGCTGATGCAAAACCCACAGACATTGGTGAGCTTTGGATCAGACCGTGGAAGAGCAAAAGGAAAGGTAGGGATGTGGAGGGAGCGTGAATGAACTACAGAATCCGTACAGGAGACAAACGGAGACTCCCAGTGCAAAAACAGTAGCAGTGCCTCAAAATGCAATAATAGCAGATCTAATCCAATCCACGCACAGCAAAGTGATTTCTGCTACAATACAAGAACAAACATTACTTACATGTGCAATAAACAGTAATCAGGAGTAGTTTGTAGGATGCGTTACGGAAACATCCCAAACAATCTGTTCAGCGCTGTTCTTTTTAATTTTCACAGCCAGGTGTGCAAAAGTTTTTATTTGATTTTTTTAAAGGTAGGCACACAAGGTTCATTCTGCTTGGAAAACGTGTTGGGAGATTCGGGACGCAGAAGGTGAAGCAGACTCTTGTCCTCCTAATTCGTCTTTCTGGGCTTCGTATCTGGCTGCCAGCTGTGGTGTTACAATTTTATAACAAACCGGCCCCCCTCCCCCCCCAAAAACTTAAACATAGATTTGCCTATGCCTGGATTTTTTCTGTTAGCATCATTGTTAGTTGGGGAAGGGGTTTGCCCTGGAGTTCCTTATAGGAATTCACTTGGCGTTAGCTTTGCATAGAAATGAAACACCCAGTGTTTTGTTTCCGTTTGGTGGTGTGGATTGTTTAATGGTCCCTTCTCCAAATGATGCTTAATAGGTGACACTTGTAAACTCCCTGAGGCCCTTCAGTTTTCTGTGACAGGTCCTTTCTCTGGATCCTGATGGTATCTCCACCAAGATGGCTACAACAAAGCAACCTCTTGTTTTTGTAATGCGACTTAACCTAATTTGAATTTCTTCATGTGGGTGCAGGGGATGGATACTTCCCTACCATAAAAATTCCCCAAAGCCCACAGGCCTTGAGGTATTTCTTTCTTATTGCTAATTTTGCAGCTGTCCATTACTCAGGGCCAAAAATCTAAGATGGCAGAACCCATTTTGTCATTTAAGTGGCATTTCAATTTTAGAATGATCTTTTTAGTCAACTGAAAATGTATTGACTTATCAAGGCTGCATTACCCCTTCTCAGAGAATGAGAGTATGCATTTCTTTTATTTACATTTTGCTGCATGCCCATGATTTTCTGTAAAGAGCTAAGGTGGGATTGAACAGACTCTGAGGAGGTAGGGTAAAGGACAGAATTTGACAGAAAAAAAGTGTGTGCAACTATCCAAGATGTTGTGAACTTTTTTTGGTATGAAAAATGTTAACGAAAAGGTATTTTTACCCCCCTTTTGTTTGGATGTTACCCTTTCCGGTAGAGTTTTAACCCAAGCATTGGCCTAGTTCAAGCAGCCCTGAAAATGAAGTGGACCTGTCTTTTTTTTCAGTGCTTTGAAAACCAATAGGCCAAAGAGGAAAAGCGGTTACTACTCTTTCTGTTTCAGCCTGGCAAACACGTAGGCACAGGTTTGGCTTTTAGGCATGCGAATGCTGTTCAAGTGCTTAAAGTTAAGCCTGTGCTTACAGTTTGCAGGAGTGTGGCCTCAGCTTTTAAGGTAAGAAAACCGGTTGAACATGTGCAATCGTGAATACGGCCCATTTATTCTGATATTAGTTAGTCGGGTATTTTTTCCAGCAGCTAAATTAGAGCCAGGTGTCTTTGTCCTGAGAGCCTTTAAAGCGCCAGTCCTCCAAGCCATTACCCTCTGGAATAACTGTGGCCCCAAAGCACTTGAGAAGGTGTTTAACTTTCCAAGACCAGCGGGAGTCCATCCCCCTGTCAGCAAGGTGTTGCATGTGTGGGCCTTTACCTGGAGATAACTGCCACTGTGGTGTGAGCTCCTGGGGTGTTTCAGTGCTTCGGAGGGGTGGTGGGAGGAGAAGGGACCAGGCATCTGAATCCCCTCTCCAGAGCAGGAGCTAAGGCTGGTGACTGCTCTGAGGAGACTTGGTTGAAGAGAGGCTGGAGCAGAGCTGGGGCACCAGGAAAAGCTCCTGGGAATGAGCAGAGCAAGACGGGCTTGACTCCAGAGCCGACTGCTGCTTGTGGGTCTGGTGCTGGGGTTTCCTTCAGGGCCAGCTACCAAGAAAAGCCCAGGAGCTGGCAGAAGGCAGGAGCCCTGAGGAAGCATGAAGGACTCCATGGCCTCTTTGGACTCCATGTTCTCACCCCTCCTGCTTTGGCCAAATTGTTGCTGGGCTTGACTGCGTCAGATTTTGGATAGCTGGGAGGGAACGGGTGATGCTGGAGAGGTAAGAGTCAGCTCTGTGTTTGAGCATGGAGGCCAGCACCTCGTGCTACCCACATGCGCTGCTCTTTGCATGGAGTTACTCACACGTGTGCTCATGGAGCCAGGGTTGAAATGCATTAGTCTGGCACACTTGCTGTTACCGGGCTGTTCCTCAGGGACCGTCTCTCTTTCTGAGGGCTTGTAGTACTTGCAGGGCTGCACCAGCATAGGGCTAACGCCCAGCACAAGGGTTTTTCACGAGACCCATATGAAGTGTTTGGCAAAGTCTGGGGGTGGGAGGTTGGCATTTGGGTTCTTCTGTAGCCTGGTGGGGGAAGAGAGGCCTCCCACCGGGAGCTTGAAGGAGAACAAGGCATTTGGCATAGTCTGTGTGGGAAAGTCCTGTTCATATGGCTATGCAGTGACAGCTGGGTGATTGTTTGTTAGCCTGTAGAAGGCCCTTCCAAGTGCTGCTGTCTCCCTTGTGCCCAACTGGGGATGACTGGTGGGCAGCATGGTGGTGGCTGAGCAGTTCCAGACTTGCCTGGATCACAATAAAGGTAGGAGGGGGCTATGTTTCTGTCCCACAGCATTGCTGCTTTGGGTAGGTAGTGGAGGGGCAATGGGTTCTGCACCCTCTCCAATCCCTAGGGCATTCCCTAGGCAGCACCCCAGGAACTGAGCTTCATGCATCCAAGTATGACCTGCACCCATGGGCCCAATCCTGCATTCATTCGCGCTGCTATCTTCTTGGGAGAATGCAGGGTCAGGTTCCCCTAGCGAGTGATGCGACGCTAGGAAACGGACAGTGTTTTGCTTCCTATCAACTTCCTATCTGGGACTTGCTTCGTTTTCAACACATACCACTGCTGTGAAAGCTTCAATCTCTTGCAGGGCACGGAGTGAGCAGGAGGGTAACTTGGCTGTGTGTAGCCTTCTAGATTTGTGCATTGCACTCTTAACTGGAAGGGGCAGCTCCCTCTGAATTCACCCGCACCATAAGAAAACGAACCTGGAACAAGGGCAGCATCTTGTTTTCTTTTTTTGTTGTTTTTTTGCTCCTGTTACTGAAGGTTTAATGTGAAAGAGAAGGGGATCGTGCCTCCAGCTCAGTGGAGTGTGACAGCTAAAAATGCGCGTGTGGCTTTCGGGAAACACTTGTGTTTTGGAAGCACCTTCGGTTTTATTGTGTGTTTGGTAACTGTAGGTAAAACAAGCCTTGCGCTGCAGTCAGTTGCTAGTCAGACTGCACAAAAGCTGCTAATTGTCACTTGCCACCTGCACAGACAGACTTCCAAATCAAAGGAGCCGAAAGGCTACTTAAGCTTCCCGTTCCCTCTCCCCATGGGCTGCAGAGGCAGGTGAGGTCTGCTGAGGCATGCTCATTAAATGTCTCGAGGTGCAGAGAGGATGTCTGGGTGCCGGCAAGTGGGCTTTCCCAGTGGGGGGTTGCTTGACTACAGGGGTTGCTTTCTCTGGCGAGGCTGACAAACTGGGTGTGTTGATCTGCAGAGCTTGGTGGAAGGCTTGTTCCCCTGCCTGAAATTGGGAGTGGGAGGGAGGTGGAGATGTTGCTAGTAGCTGGAAGTCTTTAATTACTGTATAGTCAGGCTTTATGGGGGCTTGGGGATGAAATCCCCCATGACCCTCTGGGCAGGGCATCCTGCAGCATTAGGGCTATAAAGCCTGAATGCAGCTGTACCTTAGGGTTTGGGGCACTGGGTTCATATAGTTAAAGACCATCTCCCCAGGCCTTGTGTTTATGCTGATTTAAAATGGAGCTCTGCAGACCCCTGTTTCACTGCACGCAAGGGGTGCCTTTTCTTTTCCTTTGCGTGTCCACTCCCTGGCCTTGCACAGCAGGACTGTGCTGGCTCAGCTGAACAGCCTGCCTTCCAAAGCCTCCACCATGAAGGGTGAAATGCACCCAAGGAAATGAGGGATGGGGACAAGACTTTCTCTGTCTTCTAAGGAGCATACAGTCGAGACGATTCTGGCTAGCTGTGCGTGCCTGGAACTGCTTGGTGTGCAAGGGAGATCTTGGTATGGACAAATCCTCTTGGATAACATGAAGCTGCTCAATTCTTTCGACCTTTCTGCTGACCCCGGGCTGCCTGCCTCTGCTCCTCTCACTCATTTACTTCACTGAACCTTGCTCTGCTTGCCTTCCTCAGGCGCCAAGTCCAGGAAAACAAGCAAAGCGCTCTGTAGAAAGGTGTCATTCACTCTGGTGTAGGGAAGAGAGCTGGTGATCCGGCAGGGAAGATTGCCTTACCTCCAGATACCACTCCCTTGTGGAGGTTGCTTCACATCCATGACCAAGCCCAGAGGCAGTTGAATGTCAGTGATGGGCAAAGTAAGCCCTGTTCTCCCCCTTTATCTGCCTAATGGGAATATTTTGGGGCTTAATGTTTATAAGGGAGCACTGGATCCTTGAGTGGAAGGCACTGCTCGCTCCAGCTTCTGTGGGGGCTTGTGACGTTCAAGCAGTGTGGTGTTACGATGTTCCTCTGGAGTGCTTGAGAGGAGAGGCTTTCTCCACTTATTGCCTGTATTTATTGCCATTGCAGAGATGGGAGACAGTGTCTGTCATAATGTCCTATGTTGGCCCAAAGTTAATGGGTGCATTTGCTGGAGCATGTAAAAGGTAATCTAAAGGCTCCCGGGGTCCAGAAGTCAGCTGAGCAAATCCTGAGGCTTCTCACGAGTCCAGCTTATCCGGGTGGGAATACTGCGTTAGCTGACTCCCTGCTCTTTGGCTCTGGGTTTCCAGGCTCTGTGCGACTCCATCTATTCTCTCCCTCTTCTGCTGACTGCAGTAACATTGCTTGCAGGTGACCAGCCAGGAAAGCATGGGTGGGCCAATCCTGAAGTTTCTACTCATCTGGAGTGCATCCATTGCCAGGAGACCAGCACGAAGACTAGGCTGTCCTTGTCTTGCCACTGCTCTGTGGCTGAGAGGCTTGCTGCCACTGAAGGTATGATTGCCACGTGGGTAGATGTTTTAATTTTGGTTTTGGATAATAGTGCAGTCAAGTGAACAGGGGCTGGAGAGCACAGTTTAGCTAGGTGGGAGGCTTTGCTTTCCTGGGTGACAGGCAGGGAAGTGGGAAGGGGTGGGGTGGTGTTTTCAAGGTCTGGGGAGTCTCTTGCCTCATCCTGGAGGTTGTCTTAATTTTCATTGTAAGCCACCCCCCCTACCTCACCACAAGGCAGTGTGTAAGTCTAATGAATAAAATCAAACAGAGCAGTAACACTGGCTTCAGTGCAGGCTGTACGAGGCTGCTCAGGACCCTGGGCATTCAGGGCATGGATATCAGCTGCCCATCATAAGTCAAGCTGACAGATCTATCTACTGGTGCCATACTGGCAGAGCCACCTGGCAGCGTAGCTACAGCCCGAGTTTTGGTTTCATAATGTGGGGAAGAATAGGATCCTTTTATTTTTGCTTGGACTGCTGGTGCTCCTTGCAGTCTGTCCCACACCATGACAGCTCCTATGCAGATTTTTTTCCTCCCAAAGCACAAAATGACTTCAGTTTGTTCGAGTGGGTGAAACCAGCTGTGTAAACAATGCACCAAATGGAACTGGCCCTCAAGCACTTCACTAAGTCCAAGGGAAGGGATTTCACAGCAGCCAGGATGTGCTTTGGCCCCACGATTCAATCTGGGGGGATGGTGGATTTGGAGATCTGCTTTAGCTCAGGCTGTCATTGGGAACATTACTTACCTGTGTCGCTCAGTCTCGACCCCAAAATACAGAGATGATGTTTGCCCTCCTCCTCAAAGTGCTTTGAGATTGTTGGGTGAAAGAGGCTGCTGAGCTAAGAATTTTTAAGGCTTATAAACCTTGGTCATTTTTCTGGATGTCTGAACATAGGGGCTTAATGGGAAATGTTTTTTTTTAGTGTACATATTGCTTAAAAATAGGGGCTGGACTCTAGGTGCCATTTTTGATTCTGCCACTGTCTTGCTGCATGATTTTGGGATTGTCTCCCAATCCCGTGCCTCTGGTTCATGTCTGTAGAGTGAACCGAACTTGACTTCCTTTAGGTTTAACTGTCAAATAGT